TCGAAGTGAATTAATGTCGGATTCTCATGAAGTACTAATTACATACTCTAAATTATCTTTAAGGATACATATTACTATTTTATCTAGCTTTTCACTTGGATATAAAAATTCGAATTAACAACTGACCAGTTGGATTTTAGAACATCATAAAAAATATGTGTTAGCACACAAAGCGAAGTTCAAATACATAATTCGGAAAAAGGAGTTCAGTCTTAATGATTGACCTGAGCATGAAATATCTATATAATTCGTTTGAATATTAATAATTAAAAAAAGCAGGATATATATGCTTCTCTTTTTCTAAGTCTGGACAGCTTAATTTAATTACCCAGTTTAGTTCATATAGTGCCTAGCATTCTTAAAATATGTTAAAAATACATTTCTTTTAAACATTAAGCGGCTTGATAATACATTTTTGAAAGCAATTATTTCTAGACAGACAGCAGTTTTTAATTTTCAATGAACACATCCAGTCAAATCACAGTTATGCATTATATCTCTAGAAGTAAAAGTTATCCACAGCTAAAAGCTGGCTGATTTAAGTCCTAACCATAACAAAGGCTGTTGTCGTGGCACAGTTATAGTGGAAATTACAAATGATTAAGAGATTACCTCTACCATACTCATAACAGGCCGAGGAGCAGCACGGCTAAAGGAAGGTTGATCATGATAAAGGACATATTTAGTCGGAGGATGAAAAGATCAAAGTTACAAAGAAAGATTAGTCTCTTCGTTAGGTTTCCTTCTCTGGATAACCAAAAGAACAAGAGCTCTTGAGATGATGTGGCGTGGTGTGGTGGTGTATTTAATTATGGCAAAGCACACTAGGGCTATCTGCCTAAAGGGAGGGATGCCTTCGTGGAGGACTTTCTAAGGGAAACTGGCTCGTATACACGTTACACATGGGGAAAACCACGAAAACGCCCATGCAGTCATCCCGTTCGAGGGATTCGAACCTCGGACCGAACTACCAGTGTTCAGCGACTTTACCACTCGGCCGCTGGTGGGCCTCCTTGAGATGATGACAAGGAAAATCTTGTGTTTAAGGCCAACCTTTAAGCAAACGTAATTGTTATAATCTGGAGTTAAACAGGTATACTTGCATATAACAAAAACATAATTCATCGGCATATGGTTTTCAAGTATTTTCTTTCTTTAAATTACTTTAAATTTTAACAAACATCCTTTCACATTCCTTTTTGACAAGTATTTTCATTTCTCAAAATTTAATTTTCATTTAGTTAAGATAAACTATGAGATAATACTCCGATGAATATTATAACATTTTTTAAATTTATTTCTGTAATGAATCTCAAAATAGCAGTTTAAAAAGTAAAATATCACACCTAGAACTAGAAAAGTGATTATTATATGCATTTGAGTTTCGCATGCAAAAGTTAACGAAAAGTATTTTTGTGTATGGTTTTAAACAACCTTTTAATGCGTGTGCCTATTTGGTGCTAGTTTATACTAAGCATTTGCGTGTTAAAGAAGTTTGAAAAATATTCAATCTAATTTCGATTATGCAGTTCTAAGACTTTTAGAATTGCGTTTCATGTACGTTATTTTTTAAAGGTTTCCAAGCTTTGAAAAATTATGTATCACAATATCGGAAAACATTGATGAAAACGCTTCAAAATTATAAGAGAAAACAAAACACAGTTTTGTTCAATATTAACCAAGCAAAAGCAGTCTTTTTTTAAATGTTACTTGTTTTCTCATATTATTTCAGCAACCGTGATATTAAAACTGATTTGTATGGCCAAAATCTCTGTTTACAAGGAATCACAGAGTCACAGTTCTAAAGAGGATTAAATTCAAAGCAATAAAATTAAAAACAGGGTAGAATTATCTTCAAGTTACTGTTATCTTGTGAAAAGGGAAGGTCTGAAAGGTAATTAACTAATGCTTAAGACACAATAACACGCCGAATAAATACTAATTCAGAAGTCAAACAACAAAAATCAGCGTTATACCTACAAAATTTTCACAGGACTAGTTTCGATGGTTTTACCGAACCATCATCTTCAGCTGCAAAACCGCAAAAAACCATCATCTTCAGCTGCAAAACCGCAAAAAAAATTTTTTGCGGTTTTGCAGCTGAAGATGATGGTTCGGTAAAACCATCGAAACTAGTCCTGTGAAAATTTTGTAGGTATAACGCTGATTTTTGTTGTTTGACTTCTGAATTAGTAACTAATGCTTGTAAGGTATGTAGTTGCAACATCGTTTTGCATATTGCTTGAATATACAAGCACGGATGTTGTTTGTCTAAGAATATTTTTTAATCATCAGCATTAAAGTTCTGTTAAACTGAGAACATGAAAATAAATATTTTTCTGTTGCACAATTTCCCTATGCAAACTTAAGAAAAGTTATATTATATGAGCGTTCTTCCAAAGGACGGTTACTTGCTGAGAAAAGACACCAGAATACGAAACGTACACAAAGAAATATGAAATAATCAGCCAAAAATTACGAAATGTATTATATAAAATAAAAACTACGAATACGATTTTAACTATTCAAAACAATTGACAATCTTAAAATGATTTTTGTTGCATTTTATTTACTTATTGAAATTATTTCTTGACACTAGGATGATAATTAAATAGAAAATGAAATAGCTTTTACTGGAAATAAAAAAAAACTTAGATTAAAAATTTATAGTCACATTAAAATAAAAATTTATAGTCACATTAAAATAAAAATTTATGTTCAAATATACATTTAATATAGCTATACATATTTATGTAGCTAATGCGATATATTTTCTATTTTTTAATTTTTTATACTTTAAAGGACAGGATAAAAGTACAAAATACAAAGGTACGTTTGAGAGGTTGTTACAATTACCCCAATCTTAAATTCGAAAGCTCTTTCTGTCGAAAGAGGGCCCACCAGCGGCCGAGCGGTAAAGTCGCTGAACACTGGTAGTTCGGTCCGAGGTTCGAATCCCGCGAACGGGCTGGCTGCATGGGCGTTTTCGTGGTTTTCCCCATGTGTAACGTGTATACGAGTCAGTATCCCTTAGAAAGTCCTCCACGAAGGCATCCCTCCTCTTAGGCAGATAGCCCTCGAGGCTTTGCCATAATCACACACACATTCTATCGAAAGAGGATAGGATACACTTTGAATCCATTCCCTGGGATAATTTCACTCATATTTTGAAGGGAAATTGGGCAGGAGTTATCATGTGCTTTGCATTAAATAAATTTAAAAAAAAATAAGCTATGAATTTTAGATTACAATCTATTATCTCGAAGACAACTTGAAGAAAACTGACCGAAGAGTGGAGTGCCATGAAAATAACCATTAAAATCTAATTGAAAGAGAAATATGACAATATAGAATTTAAATATAAGGAAAAACACATCCTTAGATGTTTTAAATCGAAGACAGTTTAATATTGCGTCTTTATCCAGTTTTAAAGCCGTTAAAACACCAAGAAATTACAAAAGCATGTTTGCATGTAAATGCAAATGCAGCCTTTTCCGAAAGGCTAGTATCCTTGCTCGGTAAGTAGAAATACAGGTAGACGTCACACCTTAGGTAACTGAGGTTCAATATAACGCAACTCCATTCAGCCAGGCGTAGCAACCTAATGCGCGTGTTGCAAGCTTGGCGCATGGAACGATATTCACAGGCTTGCAGAGTTAATGCAAATATGAACTCATAAAAACCTTAATTTTGTTTAATTACATGCATGCAAATCGTTTAGAAGCATTTCTGTTAAAACGGAATTTGTTAGGAACTGCAGGAGATGTGAGAACTGGAATCAGTAAAATTTGAAGATTATTTTAAGTAGCATATATTCAGATCTCAACAAGCAATCGAATTTACTGTCTCAAGGGAGCTGCACTTGTTCTGTTTTCAGCTATTAGACCAACTTAGAGGTATGAATACATTTTCTCTCACATAAAAACTACTTTTCCATCTACAGGGAAGTTACCTAACCCTTGTGCCTTCAGAAGTCTGTGTAATGCTGAAAGAAACTAGATATACACCTGATATTGAACACTGAATTGAAGAAAGGCAGTTTCATAAATTTACTAAGAACATAGATCCTTAACCATTGAGTCCTTATTAATAAAATCATATTAAAATATCAATAATATTTTTAGGTTTGATTTATTTAATTTTGCCGTTCTGACTATTGGACTTCTCATAACAAAATTCAAAACAGCAAGTTCACAATATAAATTTTGCAAAACATTATATTTTCATTAGTTTTTATTTACATTAAAATACAGAATAATCACCAAAAAATAAAATAATTGTTTCATTTATTGAAATCCTATAACTATAAAATCAAGATAATATGGTAGTTATGGTTATGGCTATAAAATGATAGTGGACACTACTGATACTCTGGAGTAACATTTATTTAATTATTATTGAAATTTTTATTTACACCTAACACTACTATCAATTTACCGATAGCTAGCTTAGGGCTACCGAAAGTTACATGAAAAGAATCAAGTTAAAGAGTATACAATTAAAAGTGTTATAAAATTTTCAAAAATTTAATTGTCGGTATGCGCTTTGGGAAAACTCATTCATTAGATATATATCATAGTATTACTCAGTGTAAATGCTCCATTTATATTACGAAGGGTGAAAGAATTAAACACTGTGATGAATTAAATAGCCATTTTTCAAATGAACCAAAATGGAAAATGACAAGTTAAATTAAATTAGAAGGGGTGCACATGGAGGTAGCTAAATCGGCTTCTAGAAAAACGTAAGAGAGATTGGTTCAAGCAGAGGAGGAGTTACTATTATTTGAATTCTAAGAACTTTATTTTGGTAGAATAAGATTTTCTATTTTAAGTAAAAGAGAAAAGGATATCTCTAGGTGCTCAAATAAAAAATCTTTTCCATGAAATAAAAGCAATCCTTTTGCTTAAAATATCATTTTGGTGTGGAGATCATCTTGCCAGTTCAGCTCAAAAAGTGAATAATTATGAACGATAATTTCAATAAAAATTAAATCTTACCGTAGATTCTTAATTCTTTGTCAGCTTTCACGGTGCGAAATGACGGTGCTTCCGTAGAAACTTCACAACCATACGTTCCTTCCGTATTCAGATCCGTTTTGTACAGATAAACGTGTGTAGCATTTGACCTAGGGAGCTGTAATAGAAAAATAAAATATGCATATCATAGGATTTTACACGATTTCAGAAAAAAGATTTAAATGAAATTTCATATTGACAAATAATTTATATAAAAGTACATTAGCAATATTCGAAGTTATAGTACTACAAATTTTACTTAAGTACGCCATATCTTTTTCCTATTTTTTGCCTTCCAGATTTTCATAGAACATGACATTAGTAGAGCACGATTAGTTATTTGGAATCAATCATTGCTTTAAAGTAATAAACGAAAAACAGTAAAACTGAAGCGCAATCCGAAACTGTTCATTCCTTAACTGAAACCGAATTGTATTATACATTCTTCTTAAGAAATAAACACATTTATTAATATTACATAAGAGTACATTAAGAGAAAACAGAATTTTGTTCCCAGAAATATACCAACCTGAAATAAGAATAAAATATAAACTGATATCGATAAAGCAAACATGCATATCTATGTAATTAGAAAAATCCCAATAAAGATTAAAAAATAAGAAATATACGTTATTATCATCAGTTTTATGAGCGCGTTAGTGATCCGCTGTGGTCAGGGAGACCAAAAGATTTTGTCATACCACACCTTTAGGAGCGAAAAGCTCCTAAAGGTGGTGCTTTTATACCATTTTGTAACCCCCGCTGAAAATTTCTTCTTCATAGCTTGTGCCTCGTCATTTTTCTCCACTGACACTTGTACGGCCTATTTAGAAAGCATATTAAAGGAGTTTGCCTCTTTGAAAATTAATTTGTGTCTAGCGAAGAAAGTTTGATGAAAAATTTTAAAACATAAACAAATGTATGTAAACTAGAACATTAAACATAATCCTATTGACATTACAAGCTTTATACGGAACGAAATTCATTATGCCACAAATCTTCATTATTGCCTTAAAAGAATAATTCTGGAAAATAAATCGTGACTCTCCTTAAAGTTAGAAGCGCTGTATTTTAAATCGCTTTTACATCGGGATCACATTTCATACAAAGTTTGTTTGCATATTTGAATTCAGATATGAAAACTCTATCAAATAAATAAATGTTAGATTTAAATACCAAAAATAGATCGGATGTAAACAATTTTCTTAGCTGTAGTTCATTTGTCTGCAATTCACTTCTTACTGGCGCTCGTTAGGCATAAGATGAGTAATGTCAGAAATAAAATTAGCTTGTTTTCTCGTTACAAATCTGATTTCCTTTAAAGCAAATATTACAAGGTATGCATTCGTAACTAATTAAATCGTGATTTCAAGAATTCTTAACTACTGAATTCCGCATTTGTGAAAGGAAATTGTTCCGTACATTAATGTCATATATTCTAGATTTGATGAATTATGTTGAATAACAACCAAAATCATAAACCCGTGTTTCGACTGAACAGAAATCATTAGTTTCTTATCTGTCACTAACGTCTTATTTATAAATTGTTATCTCTTCTTCATGCACAGTATTTGTGAACATCGTTTAACAGGTAGTGTTGCAAACAAGAATATTTGAAATAAATATATTTTACTCAGAAATTCTAAGAAGTTTCCGGAAAATTATTTCTTTGACTTTGGGATTAAAATGTGAGGACATGTAGGATATAAATGTTTCAATATATAATAATTTGCATTAAAAATAAAAGTTTAAAATATGATTATTTTGAAATGGTATAGCTAGATATTATACTGCATATTGATTTATCGGCGGTAATGGGAAGTTGTCTTCCATTTGCATGCATTAAACTTAATGAAGGAATCTAACAATTTTATGATAATATATGCGTTATTACAATACCATAATTCTGACACAAAGTAGGAATATCTATGCCGTATACGCATTTTTATAATCGACGTTTATTCAAAATCTTAGTTTAGTTGCAAGTTCCCAAATGCATCTTCAACCAAATCTGGGAATTTATTAGCAAGTTAAACCTTAAGAAATGTTGAACTAAAGATTTAAGCGAAAGCTCCCAGTAGAAAACTTTAATACATTTTGAGATATAGATAGCCTGAGTATAATTTATTGTTTCCTTTGACTAAAAGTTTCATATAAAAATAAAATAGGAAGATTACAGCAAGGAATAAATTAGCTAATATAAATTCAGATAGAAATATTGGTTATAACATTAAATGTACGCTATTCCTTGCAGCAGAAGTTAAATTACTTGTAATAAAATGTTTCTGAGATTTTTTTATAATCCTTCCTCTCAAAAATAATAAAACTAGTTAACAAGAGTTTCCGTCACATGAGTGAGACCACCAGCGGCCGGCAATGAAACAGCTAAACGTCTTTAGTTCGACCTGGGTTCGATTCCAGCCAAACAGACTGCTTACATGGCGTTTTCCTGGTTTTTCCCCTGTTCACGTACATACGAGCCATTTTTCCCTTAAAAAATCGCTACTCGAAAGCAACTCTTTCCTTAGGCAGATAGCTCTTGCTTGCTTCCCATAATCAAAATAAACCAAACCAAGCTACATGAGTGAGAAGGAGCATCTTAAATCAATTTTATCTTTAATAAAAAATATGGATATGCAGCTTTTTCTCTCCAGCTATTTTATAGTAAATCATTAAAAACTTATCTCTCACCTACTAAGGAAAATTAGATATGTTTATATGACTGTCTGCATCTTCACTAAGAACCATTGCATAACAACGAAATGAACCTTATTTTATAAGGTATTTTTCCGCCTTCTTAGCATATCTTCGTGGTGTAGGGGTCAGATCACTCGGCGCGTATTCGAGAGGTCCGAGTTTCGAGTCCCGGAGAGGGCATTGGTCATTCTTCATGTCTCTTGCTTCGAAATGACCTAAAGCCTCTACAGTGGCGCCCGAACTAAAAACGATGATGGATGATGATTCTCCACCACCAGGATCTGGCCACTGGGTTCCTTAATCCTCGTTCGCCCTTTAAAAGGGGGAGTATATAAAGTATTTATCTCGCCTTCTTAGCATGCCTTGGTAGTGTAGTGGTCAGCACACTCGAGGCGTATTCGACAGGTCCGAGGTTCGAGTTCCGACGAGGGCACTGCTGATTTTCCATGTCTCCTACTTCGAAATGACCTAATATCTCTACAATTTGTACCTATTGTTTCATTCGTACTTTCACGTAATATTTAAATTACTCGACGATGAGATATAAAGTAGTCCGAAAAAATGAGACATTACCCTTAAAAACTGCTCTTTTGAGATGTTTGGCCGAGGCTCTGTGGGAGCGATGTATCCACAGAATTTGAATTGCCTTATAAATCCTACTCCATGCTGTCACTGATAAATACGGAAATTTTCATACTGATCAAGAAATGTGCAGATCAAAGCGAAAAAACAACTTTTTTTTATTCAACTACTCTTTGTTTGTAAACAATTCTGCAAACAAATTTGTTTGTTCTGTTCCTAGACAGAAACACTAGTCTTTGTTTTGTAAACAATTTAACATAATAATGTAAATTATTAATAACACAATAATTTAATTTAACATGTAGTAATCACTACATTCTTCAAGGGAAGAAAACAATTTTTAAACACAGATATACTAGAAAACAATGTACCGAAAACGTACATGTTCTTCTACCTCTTTAGCCGTTTTATTCCATCTTGTATGGTTTTATAAATAAAGTCCAGCGTTTCCCTGTGCCAACCGGATATAGTAAATAACATGTTCATATTACTTATCATATCCAGTTGAGGAAGTAGACAATATCTTTACATTGCTTATTATATCCAGATTAATGTATGTTACTATTAAAACTGCCATGTATTATAAAGTATTTCTCCCGCCTTCTTAGCGAGCCTTCGTGGTGTAGTGGTCTGCACGCTCAGCGCGTAATTGAGAGGTCCGCGGTTCGATTCCTGGCGAAGGCGTTGCTCATTTTTCAATCTCTTTTGCTTCCAAAATACCTATTGTCTCTACAGTGGCGCTCGAACTAAGAGGGTGTTGGATGATGAATCTCTTTATCCAGCATTGTGCTATTGGGTCCCCTAGAAACCTCAGTCGCCCTTTAAAAGGGGGAGTATATAAGGTATTTCTCCCGTTTTCCTAGCGAACCTTCGTGATGTAGTGGTCTACCCGCTGATCTCGTAATCGAGAGTTCCGCGGTTCGATTCCCAGAGTAGGAGTTGCTAGTTTCTCAATCTCTTATGCTTCCAAATTACCTAATGTCTCTGCAATATGAATAATTATTAAATTTCAGCAAAATATTAATATGTAATAAATAAATGAACCCGAAAAGGAGTTTTTACATCTATTCGAACCTAGAAGCATGATAAATATTTAACTGAATGTTGTGCGTTATGGAACATAATTTTTGCTTCCCTTTTTTTAATACGAAGTTCAGGATATATCCAGTACCTGATAAATAGCAAGGGTACGAAAGTTCTTCATTACAGCTTTCAGAAGTTTATTTCATCAATGCGTATTTGCTATATAGTGAAGAGATGATAATTTCGTATTTTTTAGCCAAAGGCTCATGTATTTTGCTGTGCTCTTCAGTTATCATATCGTTTCTCGAAAGTGACTATATTTTCTCAAAAAATTAACTTTCAGTCCCAAAGATATTAGAAAACTTCCGTATTATGTTTAGCCGCTTTTCTGACTACGAGTTTCTTCCGAAATCCCTCATACTTGATACTTCATTTCTTTCGTGATTAAATTAAGTGATTCGTACTCTTATTTAAAACCCGAAGAATGCTCGACTGAAATCAAAGTCAATATATTACTGTTATAAGGTATTTCTCCCGCCTTCTTAGCATGCCTTCGTGGTGTAGTGGTCAGCACGCTTGACTAGGATTTAAACTTTTTACACTTATGGAAAGATGTCATTCGGTTTGAAAGTATTCTGGTAAAATCATACTTATCAGAAGATGACCTGCATAATTGCGCACTACTATATTTCTTTCCTTAGAAGAGATGTGAAGAATATCCTTACCTTTCGTGCCATAAAATAGTATTTCCTTGCCAAAATGAAGTATTGTCATTCATTCTAGCACCAGGTTATACAGAATACTCTTCTCAGAGAT